ATGTTTGGGTGCCGCATAATTTGACGCAAAAAAACCTTCTGGACCGAATCAACGCCTGCGATATGCTGCTGAAACGGAACAAACTCGTCCCATTCATGAAGCGGATGGTGACTGGCGACGAAAAATAGATCACATACGACAATATGGTCGTGGTCGAAGGCCGGTGAACCGTCCCAAACAGTGGCCAAGCCGGGATTGACGGCCAGGAAGGTTTTTCTGTATGTCTGGTGGGATTGGAAGGGAATCATCCACTATGAGCTGCTCCCATATGGCCAAACGCTTAATTCTACCATCTACTGCGAACAACTGGACCGCTTGAAGCAGGCGATCGACCAGAAGCGTCCAGAATTGGCCAACAGGAAGGGTGTAGTGTTCCACCAGGACAACGCCAGACCACACACTTCGTTGATGACTCGTCAGAAGCTACGGGAGCTCGGATGGGAGGTTTTATCGCATCCACCATGTAGCCCGGACGTAGCGCCAAGTGATTACCACCTGTTCCTGTCCATGGCAAATGCCCTTGGTGGTGTGAAGTTGAACTCAAAAGAGGCTTGTGAAAAGTGGCTGTCCGAATTCTTCGCAAATAAAGAGGGGGGCTTCTACGAGGAAGGTATTATGAAGTTGCCGTATAAATCAGACGGACAGACAGATCATCGAACAAAACGGCGCATATTTTAACAAAATCCGATCACTGTAACACTTTTTATAAAGCATTGAATGAAGAGCAAAAAAGCGGAAGGGAGATACCTTCCAACCTTATATTACAGAATGTTGTTATATACAACGTTCACAGCTTTCTTGTCATTAGACAATATAAAGATGTTTTCTCTAGAGGTTGCTCTAGATCTACATTCAAGAGTGTGCGGCTCGGCCTCCTACCAAAAGCGTAGCGGCAATTCCGGGTGACGCAACAGCGAACGCAATTTTCCAGTTCAACAGTTAGATCTCGCTTCCTTTTTAAAAGCAGATTGATTAAAAATGTTTTTCCTGTACAATTTCCCTATATTGCATTGAATACTTTTTTCTTATCGACGTTTAATCGTGGCTCATCTTGAGCTATATTTTGTAAAAGTCTCGTTTGATCGTATGATGTTTCTTTTGTGTGTTCGGCACTGTTAGTTCAATCTGAGTTAGAAGTATTAGCTGATATCGGCCCGTAAGTCATGGCGTCTTGTGATTTTTCAGTTACACGAGGTCCGCCTGTGAATGATGAAAGTAGTATAACCAACTGCCCAATGCCGGTACGGTGTTTATTTGCTTGTAAAGCATCCTGAAAATGAACGTAATTTTCCGCTCTGAATTTAGTTTGATTATTACGGATGTAGGCCAATCTCTCAGATTTAATTTTCGCATATTAATCTACCAAGTATTGGTTTGTTAACATTCCATATCTAAGCAAGTGTTGAAATTGTGACGTCTTGCCATTATTCGGTAGCAATAGTAGTTCATACATGACACTGTTATAGGCAGAGGTGTACCACCGATTTGGTCAACATGAGAAATATTAATGATATAACCATTTTCTCCGCTACGTAGCATCAAAAGATATTGTAAACTGTTATAAGATCTGTGTAACTCTAAAACTTTTTGCAAATTATTATCACGACTATGCAATATAATATCTCTTTTGTCAAATTGCTGTCCAGCTATCACCACTGCTACTAAAGTCAGAGGATCTGCAATAAAATATATTTGCTGGAATTTGTTATCATCGGGTTGAAGTGGTAGCAAGCTCCCAGCTAAGTGGTACACCTGCCCTTCAATTTTAAATGTAGGCATGAACCCACGCTCAACGACTTGCTTACTCCTAAAAAAAGTTCATTTGAAATGCGTTATAATAACGGTGTATGTTGCGCATGAATTGTTAGGATTTCTGATGATCACCCGTAAGAAGAGAGTGAAGTGGTTTAGGTGGAGGGAGAATTTCTTCTAATTTGATTTTTCCTTGTAAGCAACACATGCCTTTCGATTCGTCCTTGAATTTCAATGCCAAGCAATGTTCACACACTACTAACATATTACCTATTGATACTATACGATCGTCCTTGTAAGAAATGGAAGGACCGTAATTCATTGCAGAATTTTCTTTATTTATCCATGAATTGGTAACTCGTGCTGCTCTCTGTATTCGATGTCTATCCCTATCACGGATGCGGCGAATCCCACGCTCTACTGAAGATTCCCTATTTCTCTCTCTTAACTCTATATCTATCCCGAAGCCCGAAGCTATATCGAGCCTCACGCTTTACTGACGATTCTCTGTCCCTCTGAATCGTATGTCTATCTCGATCCCGGCTGTGGTTCTATAACTATCTCGAACGTACTCTTCTGGCATTCACAGTACTACGACCTATGTTCGAACGACATTACTTTATAACTTCTGTACAAAATTTACTCAGCTCTACAAGTATATGTATGATTACCTATGCACAAATTGCCATATTATTATTATGTTTCGCAGTAAAATATATATAAATACTTACTGTTCATGCGACTTCTAATCCCGCGACAACTAAGCTCACAACCCACCGTACAACATCATACAACACAACATAACACAATGCAACATCATACACCACCTACAACACACCATATCACCCACCAACACAACCATATACTTGTACAACTAACCAACCACACTATACACCGACACTTCAATCATCATCTTTTCACCACCCAAATAAACAAAAAGGATTGTTCAGACCAGAATTCTCTTCTTTTCGTTTCTCGACACCAGTTCGAAAAGGAAAAATAGTAGCAGCGAAGTTTGTTCGGAAGTGCCCCAAAGTGTATTGAACCTAAAAGAATTTAAAATTTTGTAATATTATATATAAAAGTGAAATTTTATATCAAACCAAAATAAAGTGTATTGAAACTTAAAGAATTTAAAATTTTTGAAATTTTATATCAAATCAAAGTCAAGTGCATTTAACATTAAATACTTTAAAATATTATATTATATTTAAGTGAAATTGTATTGCGGAAAAAATAAAGCAAAGTGAGTAACTACTTACCATTAAGAAAAAAATATTAGTTATTTTTTTTTTAACTGAAATACCTCAAGTCAAACTACGATTTTAGTTTAATTAAAAATACTTAAAAAATTTTGTTTGCTATTCGTGCGACTAAAAACAAAAGATCATCAACAACAAAAGAGACCTATTATATAAGTTCTTTTTCTGGGCTTACATACCTCACCTTAAATTTCGATTTTTGAATATAATTTCCCTAATATTAAATTGATCTAACTCTTAACTTTAGCCAAGATCTTAATAGGAAATTCCAATCCATTAATGATGGTTTTATTTAATCTAATCTTATCTAACCTTGTGTAGTCATAATTACTTTAAGTGCGATTTAAATATTAACCTTAGGATAGAATATCATTTATATACAATATTAAAACTCTCATCATACAGTTATTTATCGTAACCTACTTATAATTACTGATACGTTGTCGCACTAAAAAGCACGTTTTCATCAAGTACTGTTATTTTCCTAGAAAGCTTCGATAATAAACGCGTCCGATCGCTACTAAATTCAAAGTACCATAGGGAGACCCGCGGCCTCCGACGCGCTATTTAAAGGCACGCTTCCGCCGGCCGGCCGGCCAAGACCGCCGCAAACGCTGCTCCCGTAATTTTTAAATGTGTAATATTCTCAAAATATTAATTTAAATCATATTTTGTAGAGGGCCATGTAGATCTATTTTAAATCAACAACGTATTTAAGGTATTTAATTGGATAAGGATTAATGCTGTATTGGTTAAAATCGTTTCGAAAATTAGTCATTATTTGTCGTAAACAGTAAATGACAAAAAAATGTTATTGTGGGATATGCTGAAGAGATAGATAAATACCATCGCGGAGTTTTCTCTATACATTTTCAATGTGTACAATACTTAGTACATTATTTTGATAAATATCGTAGAGTTCAGCCTGCGTTTGCAATGTAAGCGGAAAAAATTTTATTATTTACGACATCACATGGGAAACCTTTAACATAACAGTATTTTCCGACTATTTAATGGATGTTATTATACATACAAGTATAAACAGTCCTCTTCAATCACTCTATCTATTAAAAAAAAACCCGCATCAAAATCCGTTGCGTAGTTTTAAAGATTTAAGCATACAAGTTATATTTTTATTATATTTTGGCTTTTATTGTTCCTTTATTCGGTAGCGACGGTGTTGTCGACTACCACGAACTATTTAAATAATAGTTATTTTTTTTACTATAAGTAGTTTGAATATTTATGTGCGTTGTGATTGGTAGCGACGGTGTTGTCGACTACCCACTAACTATTTAAAAAAGACGGTGTTGTCGACTACCACGGAATTATGTTATTTTAAATAAACACATTAAAATTACGTTTCTCTTATTTATAACCTACTATTACTATCGCCGCTACTGCCATTGACGCTGCTTATCTAAGTTTCTGCTGACGCCTAAGCTTGTGTAAGGCATTGCGTTACATCCGCCGGTCACACGTTCGGTGGCTACTGCAAGGTGTTGAATTGCGGCTGTCGGTCATTCAGAAATCCAAACTGCATAGGTTGCAATTTTGGCAGTTCAAAGACTGACTTAGTTAACTATTGTTAACTTACATAGGGATATAGGGGCAAAGAGACCGACTTTGTTTAATTCTATGTATTGATAAGATACCGAATGGATTACAAGGTTTCTTCAAATAATGCATATAGTATTCATACGCAACACTTTTTAATAAAAAGTTTTGCAACACCTGAAAGTATTTCCCCGACCTTTACGTTTGAAAATTGTTAGAGTATAAAATGTTCGGTTACTCCAGAACAACGCCATTCCTTACATGTTATTCTGTGTTTTTCTATGTGATCTCAATCTCAAAATGAAAGAGTTCGTTATAATTTCAGGGTGCTTTACGATATAGCCGCATATATTATATATAATTTTATTTCCATATAATCTTATTTATTATTTAATATTATATATAAATAAGCAACTAATTTTTTTATAGAACGCCGAACATGAGACTAAAGACTATTTTGATAACATTAAGTTGGTTTGCTAATGAAACCGTGTATTTGGGATTAAGCTATTATGGTCCATCATTAGGCAATGATCAGTACTTTAGCTTCTTTTTGTCCGCGGCAGTCGAATTACCAAGTTACGCATGTTGCTGGTATTTAATGGACACTTTTGGACGTCGCTGGCCTTTAAGTTTGTCTATGATTTTAGGGTAAGAAGTAAATTCATTCAATATATTTACACACAAACTTAATAATTTTTAGAGGAGCTGCTTGCGTTATAACTGTTTCGATTCCAGAAGATGCAATTAATGAAACTTTAGTTATATACCTCATTTCGAAAGCTTTACTTTCAGCCTCGTTTTTAATTATTTATCCCTTTGCTGGCGAATTGTATCCCACCCAAGTTCGAGGTATCGGAATCGGAGCCTCAAGTTACATTGGCGGACTTGGTTTGGTTGTAATCCCTTTTGTAACATATTTGGTAAGTTAATAGATTAACATAGACGCTTAGTAGGTACTCATGTTCCTTATTTTATACATACTCATACATACATATATAAATTACTAGAAGAACTGGCCACGAGTTTTTGTGGCTAAGGTATACATGAAATTGATTATACAATAGTAAAGTTTTTAATACAGTGTTTTCCGGATAAAGAGTTTCTGGCACATCTCCTGAATTAGCGCTGATTCAAAATTGTTCCCTTGGTAAGAATGTAATTGGAACAAAATATCTCGATACCCAATTGCGGATGAATACGTCAGCTACTGTTTTTGCCCATTAATGAGGAATTGCGTATAACTCTGGCCATTTGAACTTATGAAAATGTTTGATGCATTTCCCCAATGCCCGTAATTCCCTCTGAGTTACACAATAATTTCTCTCTGGCTTGCTTATTGTCCGGCTGTAATACGCAACCACTTTCTCATGCCCATCAATGACTGGTAATAGAACGCATCCTACTGCAAGCCCACTAACATCCAGAATAAACGCTGATCCTGAGACGGGATATGCTAACATTGGCGCAGTACTTAACCGTTTCTTCAGAGTTTGGAAAGCCACTTCTTGTTGTTTTTTCGCTCAAAATCTCTGCAATTTTTCGTGAGTTCATGGCGGCTACTAGCTATGCTGACAATGTTTGGAACGAATAATAAGTACAAAGTCTAAGTAATCTACGCAATTGATGTACATTTTTAGGAGTCGGCCAATCTTTCACTGTCTCTATCTTTTCATTAGCTGTGCAAATGCCCGCAAGTAGCTTACTTCCTTTTTGAAAAAGGAACACTTCCTCTGACTCAGCTTTAAATCAGCGCTGGCTATCCGTTGAAAAACCTCTTCCAAGTTCTTAAGGTGTTCATCGAAGCTTTTACTCAACACGATGATATCGTTGAGGTATACCAAACAGGTCTTCCAGTGTAATATTGATAATTCCTGGTTCATAAATCTCTCGAAGATAACATCAGCGTTACATATTCCAAAGAGCATTACGATAAATTTTCATAGACCATTTTTAACGCTGAAAGCCGTCTTTTGTTTGTCTTCGTTTACCTTCACTTGCCAATTACCACTTTTCATATCAAGAGAACCATTTTGTGCCTGATGAGTCCAGAGTGTCAAAGATTCTTGGTAGTGGATAACTGTCTTTATCCGTTACATCATCCAATCTTCTATAGTCCACACAGTAGGTCATGTTGCCATCTTTCTTATTCACAAGCAGTGTTCAAATCTTGAAATGAGGCGATTATCGTACCAGTAGCGTGGAATTATCGTACATGAAACGAAATTATCGTACTTTTAAAAAGAATGACTATAATTATTGCTAATTTTTGCAATTTTTCTTGGAGGTGTAATGTCCAAATCAACATCAGTTGGTTTAGTATTATTAATTTCTTCGGAATCTTCACGTAAAGAACTCATTTTTCACTTTACAGCTACAGAGTGAAAATGATATTTTATATATAATTTATAGCCAATGAATTAAAGTTTTCGATTGACATACTTACTCATTAATATAAAAACACAATCATTTAATATAGAAGCATAATCGCGTTGAGCTTCCAGTTACAGTTTTTTTCGAATTACTATTTTAAATCTTGAACGCGAGAACGTTAGCTCAATACAATAACAAGAATAACAGCCAACATTCGAACACTAAATATGCAAAGTCTGTGAAGTCTGAACATAATCGAAATCAAACCACAATATCGATATTATTTGTTCGTTGAACGAACCAGTAGATGGCGTTGTGAGCAATAAGACGGAGGAAATATTTGCTAGCGGTAAGAGCCAAGAGCTCGCGCCAACTCCTTTTTTTTCCTATAAAAAAAAATCGCCTAATTGTCTGCGAGGGTAGAAATAAGATACATTTTTAATGCATCATAATGAAAATCTGCGTACGATAATGATATGGTATCGTACATCGTACGTAGGCATGAAATTATCGCATATGTACGATAATTATCGTACGGTTGCGATCACTGTTCACAAGTACCACAGGGGAACTTCATGGACTGATGGTTCGATAACGCCGCTTTCTTTCATTTCACGTATGGTCTGTCTTACAAATTATCATTTTGCCAAAGTCACGCTTCGAGGGACCTGGCGGATTGGTCTTGCATCACCTGTGTTAATGAAATGTTTCACAACTTTGGTTCTTCCTGGTTTGGAATCGTCTTTATAGAATATATTATATTATATATGGGTATCTGAGAAGGCGTTGTTTAGCCTTATTTTGATTGTTTGCCTTTAGATTCGCGGTCCATGCGCTAATTTCGCTCCATATGTGGTTTTCGTCCATGGAATCTTCCTCAAGACATATTTCGCAATTTATCACGGCCTCAATCTCTTGACACTGGCATAATATAACTCCTTTGAAGAGTTTGATTGGTGATTTGCACTCATTACGTACTCTTACTGTAAAACGTTTATCTTATTCCTTGATTCACTAGAAAGTCTACTCCAATTATGACTTCGTCGACGATATCTGCCACTATAAAATTGTGTAACACGGCTGCCTTTCTATTACGATCTCGAACGTTACTTCTCCGAGAACTTTGCCCTGGCTAATGGTCTTACTTCTTTATTAACTAGATCAGATCGAATTATGGAATGTGATGCGCCCGTATCCACATTCAATATGCGCTTCTTCGCCATTTACACATACTAATGGTAACGCTACTCGTATTAATGCTTATTTGTGAAATAGAAATTAAAGGGCATTTGCTTGCGGGAATCAGCCCATGCAATATAGCCAATTTTTCTGCAGTTGAATCATTTTACCAAATCATCATTTTTCTTATGCGTTTCTCTAGATTTTGCTGCTTTCTGCATGTTGTAAATATTTTCAAGTAATTGGACTTTTCAGACACAAATTGTAACGGATTTCTCGATAAATTGTCTACCTTATAACTCACTCCTGAGTTCGATCACTAAATTGTTAAATAAAAGTTCCAATATAATGCTATACACTTATCTTTAATTCTAATTCTAACAACTTAACACTTTTTACTCGTTGTTCGAGTTTAAAAGCTTATTGCTGCAGTGCTTTACTAAGCAGCACTCTAATTATAATTGTGTCTGTTGCACAATCCGGTAGATTGTTAACAAAATTTCGCCACTCGAAATTTTGGCAACTACGAATTTTGCTGTTTAGTTGACTCTAGTCTTTTATCCCCGATTATATTTTTTTCTGGACTCATGTTCACCACAATACGTTTATTGGTGAAGCCATTTTGCTGATGTTGAAAAGCAAGAGAAAGAAGAAGTTTTAATATACATACAAGAAAATTGACTTCTAGTAGCGAATTTTTATTCAGAAAAATAATTTTAGTATGAAATAGAGAATATGGAATCTACAAGATAAACAAAATACACTTCAAAAATGTAAGTACGATCTATACATGTGTGAAGGCAAGTGCTGCTATACATACTATAAATTGTTTTTTTCCTTAAGTTTATTTTACTTTTTATATATAACAATGATCTCCAAATTTATAAGTACATTGTCTTGTCTTTGTTCCTTATATTTTCTCGGCTTAAAGTTAAAAATATTATTGAAATATCATCACTAAAAACTAAATAAATACTTAAATTTAATTTATTAGTTTGCTTAATTGAGTGGGATTCCTATAATTGAAAGAATTGTTTAATTAAACGAGTAGTTAATAGATTCCACGGTTAATTGAACCAAAAATGTTGCAATTTTTGAAGTATTCGAAAAGGAATAGAATAGTCGTCTATTTCGATTTTATTTTAAAACCTTGCATTTAAAAAAACTCTATTATACACGTGGAGTTATAAGTTTTACGAAACTGAAATAAATTTATTAATACTGTTTGCGACGTTTTCCAACTCCCAGTTTCCTTTGGAATTTTTTATAAATCGGTGAGCGTTTTAGTGGAGGCAAAAAGTGAGATTAACCCATATATAAAAGAAAGTCACTATCGATTTATAAAAAACAAAAAACCAAAAAATTACATATATGACCTAAATGCAGTGAAACAGTGACAAAACCAGTAAATTAAAAATAGATATATGTATATAAACTGACCAAAGTAAAGTGAAATTGTAAAAAAAAAACAAAAAAAAAAAACCAAAAAAACAAGTACCGGAAAATAAAAACCGGCGTGAAGTGCAAAAACGAAAGAAGTGCATTTACAAAAAATAAAAATACATATATACATACATATGTACATATAACAAGTGCAGTTATAGAAAGCAAATTAATTAAGGTATACATATGTACCGGTCCAAAGTTTCGTGCGTTTGGTCGGCAACAAAGGTTTTTTACCTTGTGAAGGGAAAACAAAAAAAAATAATTTAACAAAATTTTATTTCATTTGGGCAACGTATATATATTTAAAAGATACTTAAAACGCATACCAAACAAAGCTGCCTTAACAAACAAATACAAATAAAGTGAAAAACAACAAAGCGGGCGCGAAATAAAACCAAATAACCCATATAAGCGGGCGCGAAAGTAAGAACAAAATGAACAATAAACTTAAGCGAGCGCGAACTAAAACAGAAAGGATAAAAGCACATAACATCCAAACAAACAGACAAGGATTTTACAACAATTAATATATCAACAATCAGGAACACAGAGGAAAGAACTCTACAACACAGATAGGCTCACCTTAATACTTAATAAATATATTGTATATTACACCCCAAAACCCCTGGAGCAATGCAAAGTGAGTTGTATGGTTTATATTACTCATTATATTGTATATACATATGTATGTAGTATGTTGAATTACGATTTTATATAGATCATATAGAATCAGGAATATATCCGCTAACGGTCAAGACAAACGGGAACCAAACTGTTTCAATTTACGGTTATTTTACGGGAAAACTGGAAATACCGATATCACGCAAATCAGTTTGGTACAATTGGTATTATGTATGTATATAAATACATATATAAACTCAAATACATACATAATAAATCAATGCCTATAAGCTTACCATTGTGT